CACCTGCCTGGAAATCTGGGAACCCTGGACCCTGGGGCTTGGGGCTCATTCCCTCCATCCCCAGCCCTTCTCCCTGCAGTGGGGCAGGAAGGGCTGAACATTTCGCTCACCTCTGAAGCTCCCCCCGTAGCAGGGCGGGCGTCCTCCAGGACAAAAGCTCGGGTCCAGCCCCTCCTGGCCCTCCCTTCCCCCAGACCGTAAAGGAAACCCAGGCCATGCTGAGCAGCACGAGCGTCTCCCCGGTGACGCCCGCTCCGGGGAAGGTCACCTGGCAGGTGAGGGGGGTGCCATGGTCCTGGGGCCGGGGGGTGAGGCTGAGTGCCGAGAGGAGGGTCCTGGGGCCCAGGGAGGCAAGGGCGGCTGACGTCCAGGAGAAGATGGGGGGCGTGCCCCGCTCACAGGCCCAGGGCACAGAGCAGGTCAGGTTCCCGGGGCGGCCGGACTCCAGGGTCCCCGCGATGCGGATGTGGGGCCTGTGAGTCAGCGCTGGGGGGCAGCGGGGAGAGCTGGGATCGGGGGGGGCTCTGAGAGAACCTCAGGTTTGTCCAGCCCCACCCCTTTGGGACCCAAGCCGTGCGACCCCAGACCGCAGCCCAGCCAGCGCCGGCCCAGGCCCAGGCCCTCCGTGGCCTCCGCAGGAGCCGCTGCTCACCCGCCACGCGCACAGAGAGGCTGTCCCGTGTGAAGGAGTGTTTTGTAGCACGTCCTCGCTCCACACTGCAGAAGTATTTCCCCGCGTCCCCCCTCCTGGCGTCTCTGATGTCCAGGGAGCAGTTGTAGGTCCGGGGGTCCCGGAGGAGGTGGAATCAGCCCCAGGTCTCCGCCTCCACATTACCCTCTGGTCTGCTCGTGGCCACGGGAACACCCCTGTCTGCACTGACCCCTTCCCGGAACCAGTAGCCAAGAGCTGAGGCAGAGGCAGGAGAGGAAGCAGAGCACCCACAGGCACAGGCCCTCCTGCACCAGCAGCCAGAGTTTCCTGCCAAGGACCGTGTGGGGGCAGGAGGGTCAACCTCAGCCCCACCCACTGCCCCTCCCCCATCTGTCCATTCAGCCACCCACAGCAGGGGCAGCAGCAGTGGCAGGATCTCCAGCACTGCCTCTGTGGGAAGTGAGTGGGATCTGCAGGAAGTAGGGGAGCATGTGACTGTGGCCATTCAGAGAAGAGGAACTCTGAGCCTTAGCTCTGCACCTGCACAGCAGGGCCGACACCCCACAGCAGGGCCCGGAGAGCACCAAGGGTCTGCAGACAAGGACTGACCCGTGTCCTGCCCTCCTCAGGACCTCCCTCCAGCACCAGAGCCTGGACCTGCACCTCTGAGCCACGGCAAGTCCCCCGAGGGCTCCCCTGAGCCTATGTCCACACCAGGGACTGGTCGCTCCCCCCTGACCTGGAGGGCCCCAGCCCCATCTAGACCCTTGGGGGCCTTACTTTGGGGTCTGCGTGAGCAGCGGGGCAGAAGAAGACAGCGGGGTCCTGGGGAAGTGAAGGCAGCATTCATTCACTCATTCATTCATTCCCCCACTCTTAGGAGCAGTTGCGTGCTGGTGGCTGGAGACCACAAGGGCAAGACTGGTCCAGTCTCCACCCCAGGGGCAGCCCCAGTGGCCTCCCTGCTTCCCCAAACACTCAGCTCTGTGGGCTTTAGAGCTGAGCCCGCCCATTACCTGGGTGTTTTCTAAAATGGGACCGTGGGATTTTCTTTTCCCTTCTAGCTTGCAAAGTCAGAATTTTAAATATAATGATCATGCAAAATAATAACTATGTAGCATCATCATGGAGAACTCCTGTTCTAGAAGGGGGAATGGGGGGGTGGAGGGTTTGTCCAGCCCCCCCACTTTGGGACCCAAGCCGTGCGACCCCAGACCGCAGCCCAGCCAGCGCCGGCCCAGGCCTAGGCCCTCCGTGGCCTCCACCAGGACAGGAGTGTGGAGGAGGTGCTGTTTCAATTCCTCATCATACAGGGAGCATTTCGTGTCATGTAATAATCTGCTTCTTAAAGTCATCTGTGGCTCAAGGGCAATTCCAGTGAGCAGGACTGGAGGATGCATTTTACAGTGATCATTAGAGGGGAGCTTCTGTGGTTCATCTACTCTGATTAGTCTGTGTCTGGCAAATTCCTGACATGACCACATCATAGCAGTTGCCAGTATTGGCAAAATCTTTCAAATACAGTGAACCCGACATATGTATTCCTTCAGTGGGGCTTAAATGGATTCGCGCACCCTTACAGAAGGAACTCAGTCTCCAGAGTAGAAGAACCCTTTGTTCTAGGTTAGTAAAAAAAAAGTGAGAATGGGGCCTCCCCCGTGGAGCAGCGGGTTGAACGCTGCACTGTGAAGCTGTCCGTAGCCTCTGCAGCATGGGTTCGATTCCCGGTCGGCCAGGGAGAACCCCACATGGCACGGCAGACCTCTCCTGTCTCACCTGCTGCTCTCCTCAGCAGTGTCTTCGGTCTGTCTGCCTGTTCTGCTCCCTGCTCTGTCTCTGGTGAATTCTCTCACCATCCCTTGCCTCCGACTGTACCCTGGTTCTTATATAAATAAATAAATCATTAGAAAAAAAAAAAAAGTAAGAATGGAGCACATAAAGGAAACCAAACACAGTTGTTTTTACAGTAAAGAAAGGTAGACCATGTTCATGGATTAGAAGGTTTTGAGTTTTCATTATGTTTCTTTAAGTCACTTTATGGTTTCCATAAAATAAAAATGACTCATCTGTAATCTCCTAAGGATGAGCGATGTTGAGCGTATTTTCATTACTTATTTGTCATTGGTTTCTCTTTTTTGGTGCAGTGGCCCCTCCCTTGTGCCAGAGCAGCCACAGCGGCATGTCCGGGTGGTGTGGCCGCTGCAGGAAAGTGCTTCTCCAGGCTTGTTCTTCTCACGAAATAGAAGTTGCAGGCTTCAGGGGAGGCGCCGCAGGAAAAGGAGGGTGAGGTCACAGCAGGAGCCTCCTCAGAGGGGAACTGGGTCCTACCCTGGGGCCCTGGGCCTCACGCCACCCCAGCCCAGCAGGCCCAGCCTGGTCAGTGTCCTTCCCTGGGGAGTCACTCTGCAAAGTGAAAGTGGGCCCCTCTTGGCCAGACCCCGAGACAGGCTGTGGATGTTCGAGGAAGTGGGTACAGCATGGGGGAACTTGGGAAGCTGGGGGAGGCCCCTCTCTGTGCAGGAGCTCACATACCTGCCCCCAGTTCTCTGTCCTTTGGGGAGACACTCTGTGTCCCGCCCCTGGGGCTGCTGCCACAGGAGTTTCAATTCTGTAAATATCAGTACTTAGTGTATTGTGAGACTCCACTGGCAGGTGCACACACACTTAGAATTTAAAAGTGATTTTTGATCTTTATGAAGTGCCCACCCTCCCTGCTGTCTGTCTCTGTCCTTAGATTTTAGGGTAGAGACCCCAGTTTTCATTTGCTTAGTGCTTACTTGGTGTATCTTTGACATTTTGTCCTTAGCTATGCATCTTGGCACTGTGGAGAGGTGGTCTTTCATTTGTTTATTCTGTCCTTAATCCTCCAAACATACAGGGATGAGTCCTGATCCTGGAGATCACAAGGTGAAATGGACACACCAGGACATGCTACTTACTGTCCAGTGGAGAGCTGAACAAAGCACCTGGAGGCTGGACCACCCTGAGAGTGGGGACGCCCTCGGTCATGAGGTACTGATCATTTTTCATATGGCTGTATTTACTTTCCTCGCCTTTAGCTGTGACTTATGCTCCATGGACAGGAGAAATATTCAAGTCTTAGGTTTTCCTTGCTTGCAATGTCTTTATCTGGTTGTGATTATAGGGTGGTACTAGCCTCGTGAGAAGAGTCAGGAAATGTTCCCTTCTCCCCTCTATTTTATTTTTTAAATATTTATTTATTTATGCACACAAGAACTGGGGTACAGGCCAGAGGTGTGGGAAGTGAGAGGATTCACCAGAGACAGAGTGGGGAGCAGAACAGGCAGATCTACTGAAATACACTGCTGAGGGGAGCATCAGGTGAGACAGGAAGAGATCTGGTGTGCCATGAGGGTAGCTCCCTGGCTGGGGATGGAACTCATGCTGCACTGGCTGTGGATAATTTCATAATGCTGAGACTTAACCCCTGATGCTACCAGGGAGGCCTTCTCCTATATTTTAAAAGAGCTTGTGTAGAGTCAGTATTGCTTCTTTCTTGAGTGCATGATACAATTTGACAGCCAGGCACCCTGGGTCTGAACACATAATGAATGAGGTAGGAGAATTCTGCGCGGACAAGGGCATATTGAGCTTTGAACAGAAAGATGAGAGAAGTAAACTTTATTTTGGGCTATCATGAAGGGTTTTGAGTAGGGATTCACATAAACTTCTGGTGTTCTGGTCCTCTGTTCACGAGATATTGTTGGCAGAAACTTGTTATCACAGCTCACCACAGTCCTGATGGAAGGTCAGGTTCTGTAAGCCTTGATCTTTCATAGGATCTGATGAGATGAGTCATTTCCTCCTCCGCAGGACAATTAAGTGAATTGGATGGATAAAGTGATGTGTTCAGCAAGAGGTTGGATGGATTTGAATTCAGTTTCTTTGGCCACAAGTCCTGTGGATTCCTCATGTCCTAGCGATGCATCACATCCCAAGATGGCCACTAATCTGATAGCAATTAGAGACTGAGTGTAAGTGGGAGTGCTAAACCCCAGGATTTCAGGCGGCAAGTTTATTTGGAGACACGGTCTTTAAAGAGCTATTTCAGTTAGAAGTTCTTAGATTGGCTCCTAATCCATTGTACCTGGCGTCTTTATAACATGAGGACACACAGGCATTTGTGGAGCACCAGGGAAGACACAGGGAGATGACCGCCACCTCCAGGTCAGGGAGAGCAGGCTCAGAATCAACTCTGAAATCAAGTCCATGTTGGTCTGCCACTTCTGCCACTTTAGCTCCCTAATCCATGGCAGCCTGGCAGGTGAATAGCCCCATAGAGACCAAGTGCTCTCTCTTTCTCCAAGGCTGTGGCTCGGGCAATTCCTCACTTGTCTGTCTTGATCTCTGAGTACACAGTGTCACTGTCTTCCCGCCTCTGATTCTCCAGCTTGTGAAACCTGAGGAAGGCGTAGTGCAGCTCCTGGCTCTCTCTGGAGACCGCGCCTGTCCCAGGAGGAATTGAGGGGCCTGAAGAGGGGTCTGTCCAGAACTGGTGCTGATGGACCTGTGAGGAAGGGAGGGAGGGTTCAAGAGCTGGGCAGTGGCGGGTGGGAGAAAGCAGCCAAGACCAGGTCAGGACTGGGACTGATGGAAGTTAGATCAATTACCCATTCATTTACTCAAAATATGTAGTAATTATGCTTGGTCAGCCCTAAGTGCGTGTTTCAGAACTGACTAGACGGATCTGTAGAGACGGAAATCAGTGATTGTAAAAAGGGGTCGTTGAGTGGGGAGGGGAACATGGGAATTTGGGGATGTGATGGAAATGTCCCCCATCGTGACCCGGGATGTGGTTACAGAGTGAATGCATTTGTCAACATTCACTTAACTGAAGTTAAAATTGGTGTATTTTATTACAGGTAACGTATAGGCCAGTAAAATTCATGTTAAGCAAACATGGTGCTAGATTTGTGAAGTACATAAAGGGAGTAATGAGCTGTGACCTCAGGGGAGTTGTGAGCTGGGGGGTGAGCTGTGACCTGGGGGGGAGCTGTGACCTGGGGGGTTGAGCTGTGACCTGGGGGGGCTGAGCTGTGACCAGGGGGGGGAGCTGTGACCTGGGGGGCTAAGCTGTGACCTGGGGGGGGGAGCTGTGACCTGGGGGGCTAAGCTGTGACCTGGGGGGGAGCTGTGACCTGGGGGGCTGAGCTGTGACCTGGGGGGGGAGCTGTGACCTGGGGGGGAGTTGTGACCTTGGGGGCCTCAGGCTGTTGTCCACAGCATCCTGGCACTCAGTGGGTCTGACCCTAAATTCCCAGCAAGAAATGCCCAGCGCACAAGCCAGAAGGAAAGGCTGATACTTCCAGGGGGCCAGGCTGGTCTGACCGATGAAGCATCAGTAGCCCCCACAGACCAACAGTCATTGTGTTGTCCTGTCTGAAGCAGAACTGGGGCCCTCAGGAAATTAAACCCACCACCCTGGGGCTGGGATGGGAGCCCCCCCCCCCCCCCCCCACGCGGTCACTCACCCCGGAACCTGCCTCCTGGGCTGTGTTCTCTGTGCGCGAGCTCCCCCTCCCTGCCGGCTGCGCTGCTCTCTCCCTGCAGGTCCCTGCCTTCACCCTAAGGAAACGGGGGGGGGGGGGGGGGGGGGGGGGGCCTGGTCCGAAGGCACCAGCAGTCCTTCCCCCTCCCACCCCCGGCACCCGTGTGGTGAAGGGGTGAGAGGGAGGCTGGCTGGCGGGGCGCCCATGATCGAGAGCAGGAGCAGGTGGGGACCCTGTGCTCTGACCAGTGGGTCGAGTCTGAGCCTCCCGACCCCTCAGCCTCCCTTCCCCGCTCCTGGCTTTCCAACCAGCCCAGGTCCCCCCAGCTGAGACTTGTGGCTCTGCCCTTCCAGGCCGGCCTCTCCCTCCAAGCCCACGTCCTCACCTGAAGAGGAGGGAGAGGCAGAGAGCCAGCAGGGCCGCGCCGCCAGCTCCCCCCAATGCGTCCCGGACCCTGCGCGCCCTGGGCTCTGCTCTCCCTGTGGATGATTGGAGGTTTGTCTCATCTCCACACCAAACTCAGCATCCTCTCGAGGGGAGCTGCTCTGTGTCCCCGGAGGGAGGCTGCCCCATTATTCAGGACTCAGCACGGCCCTCTCTGGCCCCCCCCCCCCCCACCGTGGTATAGCATCTGAGCAGTTGGGGGCGTCTGAGCCACTGCGTCCGGCTGCACAGCTTGAGGGTTTTGTGGCGGCTGCAGCGGGGAAACACACACCACATGATCCCGGCGCCCCTGACCTGCTCTCCCTGGCAGCAGCAAGAGGGCGGCGCTGCGGGTCCCCTGGGGGTTCTGGGCCTCACAGCTGAGTCTGAGGGCGGTGCTGAGCCCCCCGCTGAGGCGCAGGGAGCTGTTGGCCCAGAGCCCCGAGGGGCTGAAGGTGACCTCCACGGAGGCGTTGCTGCTGTTCCCCTCCAGCAGCTGCTCCCCCAGCCGCCAGCGCAGGGAGGGGGCCGGCCGGGCTCGGACAGAGCAGAGGCAGAGCAGACCCTCATCCTCCGGGGAGCAGGAGGGGCCGAGCAGCCGCGGGGGTGCTGTGGGAGGAGGAGGGGGGTCAGCGGTGCCTGTCCCCTCCCCAGGACCCAGGGGTCCCCACCCCCACTCACATTGCACACGCAGGCTCAGGGAGATGCGCTGGGAGCCCAGGGGGTGCTGGACCAGGCAGGTGAGCTCCCCTTCTTCTGGGGTCCCCCCTGGAAGCAGCTCCAGGGTTGAGGAGCTGGAGATGGGGGTGGCGTTCAGACCTGGGGAGCCCCAGAACCAGCTCAGCTTGGCCGGCGGGTTGCCCTCGGCCACACAGCGTAGCCGCACAGCCTGGCCCTCCAGGATGGTGAGGGAGGAAGCATTTGGCAAGATCTCCGGGGCTTTGGGGAGAGAAGTGGAAAAAGAGAGAGGAAGATGCAGAGATGAGGTGGGGCCTGTGCCCGTCTCCCGGGAGTCCCCCGGAGCGCTGAACAGGACCTGGGCCCCAGCCCTCAGCAGAAGCTCCCCATGATTCCCCTGGAGCCGCCCACACTGCCCTGCAGGAGCGCAGAGGGGCCAGGACAGGGATGTGGAGGAAGTGCAGGTGTGAGCTGAAGAAGAGCTGGAGGCAGGAGGGGCTGAGAGTTGGGGGTTGGGGGGGCTGCCCCTCCCATTGCGCTGACCAGAGGGAGCTGTGGGTGGGCAAGACCAGCCTTGGGGTGACCTCAGGGGGCTCCCCCTGTGTGCGCCATGTCTGCGGCGACTGTCTGCTCCTGTGTAGCCCACTTACTCCTCAACAGTGCTCCCACCCACCCGGGCTCCCTCCAGGGGCACCTGCATGCACCCCATTCCTGGAGAGGCGGCCCTCTCCTACCGGTGCTGTTCCCTTGGAAGACGTTGATGGCTGCGTGCTGAGGCGCATCTGCACAGAGGGTGTGGCGGCCTTAACATCCAGGGGAGGGGTGGGCCTGGACCCTCCCCCCGGGCGCAGGGCATGCAGGACCCTGCCCACAAGCGCCCAGAGCTCACTCACAGGTCACGTTGAGCCGCACGGTCGTCTCCACAGTGACGCCCGCTCCGGGGAAGGTCACCTGGCAGGTGAGGGGGGTGCCGTGGTCCTGGGGCCGGGGGGTGAGGCTGAGCGCCGAGGAGAGGAGGGTCCTGGGGCCCAGGGAGGCGAGGGCGGCTGATGTCCAGGAGAAGATGGGGGGCGTGCCCCGCTCACAGGCCCAGGGCACAGAGCAGGTCAGGTTCCTGGGGCGGCCGGACTCCAGGGCCCCCGGGATGTAGATGTGGGGCTTATGGGTCAGCGCTGGGGGGGGCAGAGAAGGAGCCTGCGGCTTCATGGGGTGTTGTCAGCTGCCCCACCGCAGCCCCTGAGAGCAGACCTTTTTCCCTAGTCCAGGCCCACACCCGGCCCCTCCTTACCTATCACCTTCAGGGAGAACTGCTTCTCTGCGTAGATGTGTTTACCACCGCTGAACTTGTCCGTTGCAAAGATATACGTCCCCCTGTCCCCCATGGTCACGTCCCTGATGCTCAGGGAGCAGTTGCCACCCTGGGGGTCCCCGATGAGGGAGAACCGGCCCCGGGTCCTCTCCTGCAGCGTCACCTGTGCTTTGTTCGTGGCCACTGGAGGGTCCTGGTTTACATCTGCCCCTTTCTGGAACCAGAACCCGTATCTCTTTCCCACATAGAGGCTGTAAGGGTTCGAGAAGCTGCAGGGCACAAGGGCACACAGCCCCTCCTGAGCTGTCACGGGCTGCTGCTGGCGCCTCTGAGCCAGAGCCTGGGGGGCTGGAGAGAGAGGGAGAAAGTCAGCCCAGGACTGCGGCCCTCCCTGTGGAGTGGGGGCCCCTCCTGCTCACCTCCCCACAGTGGCAGCAGCAGCAGCAGCAGCAATGGCGGCAGCAGCAGGAATGTCGGAGGCATCCCTGCCTCAGGCCCCACAGCAGCTTCCTGGGTCCCTCTGAAGTGCAAGGGGCCCGGAGCTCTGGGAGGGCAGAAAGTGCAGACAGGAAAGCTGTGGTGACAGACAGCAAAGGGCAAGGGCAGGGCCTGGGTCCTGAAGAGGGAACTTCCTCCCCGCAGAGGCAGGTGTGCACACGTCATGGCAGCCCCTTCGCTGCATATGCAGCGAGGCCCTGAGGCGGAGAGGAAGCTGGGACTGCCCCGCTCCGCCTGGGAAGACCCCCTCCCCATTCTGCCCGGCCATGTGCTGCCCCCTCCCCCCCCGGGACCCTGGTGGGCAGCACATGCATATGGGGTACAAGTGAGGTGGGAAAGTCACCCCCTTCACTCCCTGCACGTGCTCATTCCTTCACGGGGATAAGAAAGTCAGATCGGGCCTACCCCCACCCCCACCCCCAGCCCCACCCCCACCCCCTACACACGCTCAAGCAATGGGGCAGGCCAGGCCCTGTTGAGCTCTCCTTGAGGCCAGTGGGAGCCACAGAAGGTGCTTGCGCAGGAGAGGGGCAGGTCCTGTAAGGACCAACATGACCCCTCTGTGGCCAGTGCAAGGAAGAACTGGAAGGGAGTGACCGGAGGCCAAGAGGCCAGACAGGAACGTGCGGTGTTGGTTCTGGAGGGGAGAAGCAGGCCTGTGTGGAGCGGGCAGCCCCGGGAGAGGAGCAGGGAAGGGACTGAGACACTTTGAGGTAGGGAGCTTGAGGGGAGCTTTGGTGGGGGAGGGAGGGACAAGGAGAGTGTCTCCTAGAGCCTTGGCAGTGACCTGGCTGGGAGTGCCACCCCCCAGAGCAGCCTGGACCCTGGGGTAGAGGAACTAGCAGAGTGGGAGCCCAGGGTGGGGTCCAGAGCCTGGGTCCTGGGGCCTCCCTTGTGGCACAGGGCTTAAGTCTCAGCACTATGAAGCTGTGCGCAGCCACTGCAGCACGAGTTCATTCCCCTGCCAGGGAGCTACCCACATGGCAGCAGACCTCTCCTGTTTCCTTGCTGCTCCCCTCAGCAGTGGATTTCACTGGATCCGCCTGTTCTGCTCCCCACTCTGTCTCTGGTGAATCCTCTCACCCCCCATACTTCTGGCCTGCACCCCAGCTCTGTATGCATAAATAAATACATCTTTGAAAAAAAAACAAAAAAGCAAAGAGCCTGGGTCCTGGCTGCCCTCCCACCACCTCCCAGATGGGGAGCAGCTGTGTTTCTGGGTCCGCAATGCTCCCTGGGGACTCTTACCACACTCAGAGACTGTCCAGCATGCAACCGCTATATCCCCGCTTTCCTGCATCTTGGATGTGATGCCCAGAGGGAAGACGCTCATCCTCCTGGGAGCACCAGGGCCCAGCAGCTGTGGGGGGAGGTGGGCAATGGAGGAGGGAAAGAAGGGGCATCAGCGAAGCCTCTCCCTTGCTGGGCAGCAGAAGTCCCCACCAGGCTCCCCGAGGAGCTCTTGGTCCACATGTCTCTTCCGGGTTGTGATGGGGTCTGTGACTTCTCCCGGGACCTGAAGGCGGGGTGCAGTGGGCTTAGACCCGTCTAGAACAGGGTGAGATGCCCACCCTCCTCTGGCTAGTGCAGGAGTGAGTTGCACCTGCATCGCCCCCTGGGACAGCTGTGGCCAGCAGCCCTCAGGCCTCTTCCTCTGAGCTCTGTGGTCCTCACCCTGGTGGCCACGGCGGTGGCAGCATCTCGTAACTTTGAGGCGCATTGAGATTTCCTTGACGCCATGGGATTAGACTCCTCGGTGTGGAGGCCGGCTGCTCACGGAGCTGGGGTGAGCCTGGATCAAAATGTATGGTTTCTGTCCCAAACATCCTTCAAAGGGGCCGCCCCGCTCCCCCTTGGGCCTCGCAGGGGAAGTGAAAGCTGAACCCTCCTTCCTTCCTCCTCTATATTTAACCCACCTCCTGCAGACCAAACCCCTCTCTCCCCAAGACAGACATGACCTTTGGGGTCCTTCTTCCCCTGTCCGGTTTGTTAGAGTCTCCCAGGGGCAGAGTTCTAGGAGGCCAGGAATCTCCTGCTCCATATTGGACCAACCTCAGGGTGGAGACTAGAGCCTCAGGGACGCATTGGGGAGGCTCGAGTCCACCTGCAGGGAGTAAGCCAGTGGGCAGGCGCTGGGTCTGAGCCTGGAAGAGATCCGGGTGATCTGTTTGGGTTCAAGGTGAGACAGACCTCGTGACCAGGTCCACCCTGGCACCTCCTCACTTTTTGTGACCCCGCACATGCACTCACAGACCCCTGTCCCCACCTCCGCGGCTCCTCCAGCCTCCACTGTTCTCTCTCCACAGGGACTGCCTGATTTTCTTCTCCTCACCTCCCTGCCTCTGTAGCCTTGGGGTCTCCCACCGCCAGCTGTCAGCCTCTGAGGCCGCAGGGCTCTCCCCAGCCTGAGCATGAACTTGTGCCTGACGCCTCTGAATGTTTCCACTGATTCCAGGGGAAAGACGCTGTCATCCTCCTGACAGTTCAGTTCCTTCATTGATACGACAGATTGGGCTCAGCGCTTGAGACAGTAAAGGCCTGTCCTCCAGAGCTCCATTAGGTCTCAGGCAGAGACTGGACAAGAGAAACGGGAGGAGAGGGGTGGAGACAGGGAGCAGAGCGGGAGGGGAGGAAAACAAAGACTGGAGGGAGAGAGGGTAGACAGGGGGCCTAAGGGGGAAAATAAAAGGGGGGAGAGGGAGAATGAGAGGGAGAGATGGAGGGCGGGGTGTGAGGGGAGCAATGGTTTGGGGAGAGGCTGCGGAGGAGAAGGGCATGGGCAGGGAGGCGTTTCTGGGGACTGCGGGTGGAGCCCGCCATGAGAGGCCAGAGACTGAGCATGACCCTGCTGCCCCTCTCCACTTCAGCTGTGCCCTGGAGGCGGCAGGGGTCCGAGGAGGGCAGAGCTGGACTTACACCCACTTGCCCAGGCCCTGGGCCCCAGGGCCCCCGCTGTCCGTGGTGCTGACGCGGGGCTGGGTCCCCAGCTAGGAATGACGGGGCGCTGCAGAGCGAGTGACCAGACCGGCCCCGGCCCTGACCTGGGCTCGCAGGGCAGAAAAGCAGCGAGAGGGAGAACATCCAAGAGACGCCGCCCCTCGGGTCCGGGGTCTGGGGTCTGAGCTCCCCCTGCAGCCCTCTGCCTCTCTGCCCTCCGGGGCCGTGGGCTCGGGGAAGGCCGCAGCAGCTCAGCGCTGCGCTTCATGTTTGGGGGGAAAACTAAGTTCCCAAAAGTCAGTCTTTTCTGTACCTTAGAGCAAAACGCATTGCGCACTGGTGATAGGCAGGGTGGAGATGACCTCCCGTGCCGCTCGAAAACCACCAACAAAAGCGTTTAAGTCTCCCAACAACGCGTAAATGCCTGCAATGGTTTTGTTTCTTCACTTTTGCTAACTCAAGATTAGAGAAACAGCATTACATCCTGCCTTTCCTCGGTGTGATTATGGTGGTGTGATTATGAATCGTATTTCCACAGCTCGCCTCCTGCCTATTTGATGAGTGAAAATCTCTTCTTGATAATTCTGTGTGACTTGCTGGGATTGTCTGGAATAGCTGGTTTTGCCTTCAACTTGTCTGTATTTCCCCTCTCTAAAGTGAAGTGTCCCAACAGCCCAAAATGTCTTTTCAGATTACCTCTTAGCAAGTTCAGCAGTACAAGGAAAAACTTTCTCAAAACATTACATTTTTCAAAAAGCACTATTAGAGGGCCTACCTGGTGGCACAGGGGGCTAAGACGCAACCTATGAAGCTATCCGCAGCCACTGCATCACGAGTTCGATCCCCGGCCAGGGAGATACCCACATGGTGCAGCAGACCTCTCCTGTCTGCCCTGCTGCTCCCCTCGGCAGCGTGTTTCAGTCAATCTGCCTGTTCTGCTCCCCACTCTGCCTCTGGTGGATCCTCTCACTCCCCGCGCCTCTGGCCTTAAATCTTTTAAAAAAGGCACTATCAGAGACAATTCTTCAGCAGTTCAGGAAAAAGGAAAGTCTTTTTAAGTAGATGTGAAAAACTAGAGTATTTTCAGAACATTCAATGTCAGTTTAGCTTAGATGCACACACACACACACACACACACAAATGCTGAAAAGGCCCCGTGTTAATGTGGGACAACTTTATTCTGTGAGATTGTATATATCTGTACGGAATAGCCACTCTTTGAAAATGGCGGCCTCCTATTTTATGGATGCAGCCATGTTATTTGTTGCTACAGTAACGGAAAGAAGATAAATCTCGCGAGAGTAGAGACTGGTTCGCCATGATAACTATTGGCAGCGTTCTAAGCTTCAAAGCGCCTAGTGAGCATGCGCGCCGCTCAAGCCCGCCGCCTGGGAAACGCGGCCAGGAGTGCAACCCAAACCGGAAGTGGCGCCGCCTCGCGGGTGTTGCCGGCGGTCGGCGGCGGGCGGAGGCGACGCTGAGCGCGAGCGGCGGCGGCTCTGCGGGGTCTGTGAGGCGGAGTCGGCCTGGGGTGAGTGCTGAGGGAGCGTGGGCAGGGTGAGCGGCGGTCTGTGGGCGGGCGGGGCGCTGGGGAGGAGGGCTGTGGGCTGCGGGCTTCTCCCGCCGGCGGGGATCCTCGCTTCCCGCGTGGTGTGAGGCGCGAGGACGCCGGCGACTCCGGTCCCCGGTCAGCCGGCCGCGGGCGTGATGTGGGCCTCGTGGTGCGGGCGACACGCTCGTTTGGGGTCAGGGAGCGCGCGTGCAAGGTGGCCCGGGGCGTTGGGGGCGTTGATCCCCTGAGGGGCAGTGACTACTCGGGAGCTTCAGGGTTTGGACGATTTGAGGGTCCTGCAACACGGGGGACAGTGATTGTCGACCTCTGAGATCGGTCAGTCGGGTGCGGACGGCGGCATGTGGGACCCAAGGGGGTCGCCGAGGGGCGTAGTGAGGGCGAGCGCGTGGCTTTCAGGGCGGCGAGTGAACGTCAGGGCCCTTTGTGAGTGAAGGGGGGACAGTGTTGCTTTGGACCGCGCCCCACACAAGAGCTG